CCCTTCCCTTCCCTTCCCTTCCCTTCCCTTCCCTTCCCTTCCCTTCCCTTCCCTCTGCTCCACGCTTCCCCAGCGCTGCTTGTTCGTCGCAGGGGCTGAGCAAAGGCTATCAGTGTGGCTCAGCCCTTTCCAAGAGGCTGGTTTTAAGGGCGGCCACCAGCAGCATGTTTCCAGGCCGTGGTATTTATGTGCTGCCAGATGCGTCTTCTGCTAAGAGCAGGAGTCTCCCTCCAACTCTCGCTGCCGACTGTCAGCAAGTCTCTGAGTGTCCCCGCATGTCCCCTGCTTGCAAACGGTGCAGTAAGCGCAGTCCCAGGGAGTCCAGGCTGGGGATGAGCCTGGCAAGATGCTCGTGGGAAACAGGCTGCCTGCTCCTAAGGACGAGAATTTACTGTAGAAGACCACATCGGTGTTGCTTAAACCCAATTAAAAAATCAGATTTAGATGATCTTCACCAATTGACAATGCCCTGAGATTTTGGAGGGCTGGGTTTCTGTACTGCCCTTCCCAACCGTGGAGGAGTGAGGGACCGCTTGTCCTGCTTGTTGGGACAACAGTGTCTGGTCCTGCCCTTGTCGATTGTCGCCATGTCGGGATATGTCCTTGACACTTTATTACAGTGAGCTTTGCTGGAAATGACAAAATCCCATTTTTTTCCACTCCTTTTACTGCCTCCTTCAGTAATTTCATAATTTTTCCAAAGCACCCTGTCTGGTTGAGAGGAAATGAAAGGACCTGTGACCATCCAGGTCATGCTCCAGTCTGCCTTCCTCACCTTGAGCTGTGTCACATCCCTTTTTTCTTGCCTTCAGCCCTCCCGCCCCATCCGGCGTGCCAAAGGCTTGTGGCACGCCTGGCTGGTGGTTTTCCCTTTCCCTTTCGGTACAGCCATACACATTTTCCTGTGTTCAGCGCTTCAGTAGCTAAAGGCTCTTTTCCTATTTTTAATAAAACCCACAAGGCCTGATGAAGCTTGATGGCGTTTCTCACTTCTTCTCTCCCAGCTTCTTGATCTTTAAAATAAAGGCTGCTTTGATCAGTTCCTCTCCCCAGTTTTGGCTTCACTTATGTCCTTTGCAGGATGAGTGTCCGCCCATGAGAGCTAAATCCATCTCTAAATCTCCCCCGTCTGCTTAGAGCCAGCATTTCTGACTGCTGGCTTCGTGTGCCCTTTGCTCTGTGTCCCTTTTCCCCAAGATTGCTCCCGTAGAGAAGACGAGCGGGTTGTTCCCCCTGCCAGGATCGTGAGTCGACATCTTCACCTCTTCTCCATCATCAGCTCCTCTTGTCTTCTCCACTTGTCCTCTGTTCTGGGTATCTCCATAAGGAGCTGCCGCGTGCAGACGAGCTTCGCTTGGGCGCTCGGGAGCAACGTGTGTTTTGCAGTTTCTTCTGCCCGGTGGCGCCTGGGGTCCCGTCACCCGCCGTGTTCCTGCTGTCAACGGCGTGGGCCCCTACGGGGATGGGGACAGGGACAGGGAGGTCCCCCACTCGCCTGGGAGATGCGAGGGGCTCTCAGCCCCACCGCCTTCCTTGGGAAGAGGGCTCCTGGGGGAAGGATCCTGTTATCCATCACCGCCACGCACTGGCTCGGGAGCTGGTGGGGATGATGCGGGTGCCGTGTCAGCAGGGTTTGGTGGTGGCACAAACCTCAGCGCAGCACTGGGGTGCGGGGACCTCACTGCCTGTGCTCAGGGGTGTCCCTTCCCTTGCAGGTACATGGTGGACGCCGCCGACCAGGAGAAGATAGAGGCCTCCAAGAATGAACTGCACAACCTGCTCGACAAGCCGCAGCTCCAGGGCATCCCGGTGAGCTGCTGCCTGGATAGGTTCCCCCAGCCGCTCGCAGTCCCCAGGCTGGTGGCTGCCAGGGTTTGCAGCGAGGGGCTTGCGTCTTGCAGAGCAGATTTGGGGGGCAGATCCCCTTCCTTGGAGGGGTCCCCTGCCCCGTGGCAGCCTGTGGGAGCTTGGGAAGTGATGCAGGGCTGGGCCAACCAGCAGGGAAGAGAGCTTTAGAAGAGACCAAAAAAATCCCCTGATATGTGAGATCTGTCCTCTTGCATGAATTTCCACCTTATTTATGGTGGGACACTAAGGTCTCGTCTCCTAGGAGAGCGGCTGCTGGGCTGTCACACTTGCAGGAGGTGGGCTGTGGTGGCGGCGCGGGGCACACTGCGCGTGCTGGGGCGGGATGCTTACGGAGCATCCGAAGTCATCATCCTTTGAAAAGAGCTAATCGAGGAACTTGCCACAGATCCCAAACGTTCACTGCCTACTAAATTAAGCTGCCGACATAGCGTGCTACATGTGAAGCCCTTCTGAGTGCTCTTATTTGAGAACAAGTCTCCAAATTTAAATTGGGGAATGCTGCGTTTCCATGCTGCTGCAGAGGCCCTGGCTTACCCCAGGAAAGTGGCCGCAGCCTCAGCGCTGTCCTTGTCAGATGACAGTCGCGTGGCGCGCGCCGGAGGGATGAACAAGTCCTGCCGGGTGGTTATTTTCCTTGGATAGTCTGAGGATGCCTTTGTGGATGTGAGAAGCCTTGAAGTGAGGAGAGAGCAGTGCATGGTGCAAACAGCCGTTGTGTTTTTGGGCTGGCTGCCTGCGGAAAGTGGGTTCTGTACGATATCCACATCTCGCTGCTTCCCAGTAACGTCGGTTTTAGCCATTTCATTAGATTCTTTGCTCAAAGACAGCAAGAGGCTCCTGGAAGAACATCCTAGATAGCATGAGAGATGCTGGTGCCCTTCAGGGAGGATGTTGTGTGGGGCCAGCTTCTCAGTGGGAAGAGAGAGTACACAGGAGGTGCTGTGTACAAGCTAATTAGGACTCTTAATTGAAGTGCTCTGCCTTCTGATTGCCCACTAAAGGAGTTTTCTTTGGGCACACCCTGGTGAAGTGCCAGGGCTGTCTTACATCTCAAGCAGGGTCCAGTTCTGGGTGGCAGAAGCAGGTTCCCGCCTGGTCTGGTGGCCAGGAGCTTCAGGTGCCCCCTCTCCCCCCTGCAGGTCCTAGTCCTGGGGAACAAGCGAGACCTGCCTGGTGCCTTGGATGAGAAGGAGCTCATTGAGAAGATGTAAGTGTGCCGGTGGCCCGGGCGGCCGCGGTGGGGCTGTGACACAGTGTGACCCCC